TTACGGAAACGCATTACTAATGAATGCCAACAAATTACACCAGATGTTATTCACAATGTCCGAGAACACTTCGAACAGTTGTACCATTGTATGGAGGTGAATGGCGGACATTTTCAACATTTGAAGTACTAGGTACCTTCCTGAGGTATTTACTCAATAAAACTCCATTTTCTAAAACGTAATTTCTTGGCATTTCAAAGAGAATTTATTCTCCTTTAACATACCCCTTCCCATTTGAAAAAATAAGGACAGTAGCCGCGCCCCGCTAGGGGGTTGAGGTTACAGGGATGAAATTAATAGTGAAACGTGTCCTCCCGAAAACAAAAGTTTACGGGTCCGAGGGTTTTTCAAATTTTTACATACAAATCCGTAAACGTTGCTGGACTGTTTTTGATGAGCCACCCTGTATGAGTTTACATGTAATATCGGATGGATTTCAACACGGTCCCACGAATTCAGGCGACTAATATGGAAATGTTTTTGTCGTAAGTATCCAGCAGGGTGACTCAGGAAAAAATTGAAATAGTGAAATAGACATACTTTTAGAATTAGTTCTCACTTCAATTTTGAAAGTTTCTCACTCCCAATATGAAGCTATTTATGAAGTTTCATAACTGGATAATTTTGTCCTTTTAGCTTTCTGTTTTTTATCATATATATATGTAATTAGACATTGACCCGGACATTCAAAATAACAAGCTAAATATTGGTGAAAATGTTTCGTATAGTGTTCTGATTAATATCCCAAAATTCCCGAAAATTCCATCTTGGGAAAAATCGGCCATTTTGAAAAAACACCGCAATCTTGGATTTGTCGAGTTTTAGGCAAAGCGACTGAACCGATCATCAGATTATATTCGTTTTTGCATCAAATTACCTCATTTAGGCTGCCAAAATACTAAAAACAATAAATATAGAACAATAAAGGTGCTCGAGAAAGAATAATATTTATTTAAATGCTATCAACGGAAACACGAGGCGTGAAATATAGACATAAGGCCAATTTTGGGAAAGATACTAGACAAAATCCTCAACAAAAGACAACCACTTCACCTGGAGAGAACGGGCAATATAAATAAAAGACGGTACGGCGTCAGAAAAGGAACGGGAACGGTTAACCAGGACTATAGACAGAAATAGGAAGGAGGGCTCACATCAGCTGCTTGTGGGCCTGGATCCCAAAAATGCTTTCAGCTCGGCATTGGGGCCAAATGAGAACAAGGAACTGGAAATCGCAGGCAAACCAGGTAACCTCTGACGCATCTGCGAGAACTTGATGAAATACATGTGAAAGCGAGATCAATAACCAGGACAATGACAATAAGGGGTTGCCCGCAGGGGTCCTAGCCTAGAACTAACGCTATGGACACTAGTCATCTGGTTCAGGAGCAAGGGCGCCGCAAACGAGAAGTGGTCAGCACCAGCAACGAGAGACTAGTTGACACGCAAGCATATACGCAGGCGACCAATTGCTAGTCATAGCAGGCTCCCTGGGCGATATTGAACGCAAGTGGAAAGCCGTCTGGAAATCGTGCAAGGCATGGGAGAAGACCAGCGATGTGAAATACAATCAATACAAAACAGAGACATTATTCATACCCAGACATAAAGACACAAGTAAACCCAGGATAAAGATCGAGGACAAAAGAATATCTGAAATACCTGAGACTCACTTCCGACAGATAGAGGAATTACATAGAACGCTTGCGTGTCACTATAATCCAAGTGGCAAAACTGACCATGACGATGAAGACATCTGGACGCAGCGGCTAGAATGAGACCATTGCTTTTAATGACGAGCAGCTAACGACGAGTAGCATATATTCTACGACCGCAAACTGTGCTGTACGAGTCATGGCGGGCGTCCCACCGTTCTGGCTCTAGGCAAAAGACGAAAGGCGAGACTGGATCGATCTCCACATAAATAGACAGACTGAAAGGCTAACATCAACAGAAAAACCGAACCTAACGACAAGGGGGAGGCTTCAAAACTAAGTGGCGGAGAACTGGCACGTAGACGCCCGTACAAATCAAGAGGGAAAAAAGGGCATTTGCGTACATATTGCAGTTGGGGATAGAATAGAGCAGCGCACAAAGAGATCACAAGACAACACAAACATAGACAGAGCAAAAATGATGGCAAACTTTGAAGGAATGACCACATGACAGTGTTAACGGACAGAGTACAAACGATAGAGCAAATTATGGAACATAAAATAAAAGACAAGCTGACGGCGCATGTCTTGAAGCTAGCGGAAGAGACCCTAGAACAAGACAAAGGTGTTAGATTCATATGGAAGAACGGCCTCAATGAAAATATTGCAGGAGACAAAGCAGGAGACAGGCTAACCAAGATTATCCTATAAAGTCCCGAAACAGACAGGAACCTGCACACCTATCTACATACTGACAGAGACACAATAGAGAAGGAACGAGAGCACAAAATCACAACACAATGGTAAAGGACATGGGATGAGCAAGATAAGGCCAGAGAGTTGTACAAACACTGCCAAGAAGTAGGGATGGACTGACATTCAGCTTAGTTTCAAAGCTACACAACTGTGAACAGGCCACTAAAACTTCAAACAGTACATCAAGTTTCAACCTGAAAGAATCAGACGGGCAGTGCACGTGCAATCAGAATGCGAAAGAAGACTGTTGCGCGTCTTCGTCAAGAAAATATCCAGCCTGGACCATCCGAAGCAAATCCGAGGTTAAATAAGAATTGATTATGGCGATCTAGAGATTTGCTTGAGACAGCAACATACGACAAGCAAATAACAAGTTACAAAAATAAACAAATGGGTTAACGTAGCAGCCGCAGACACAACCACAGATGATTAGCAAAGACTCACAAAGTACTAGAGAAGAAAATGAAACAGAACATACAATAGATAAAGAGACACATGAGCAAACAAAGATCAAAAACAAAAAACAAAAAGAAACCAGACAGAAATAGACAGAAAAAGGGGCTCATTTTCCCGTAAAGACCAGAACAAATGAAATCGGACGCTCGGTTCACTCGCTATGATTAAAATTCGACTACTCCAATATAGGGCCAGTTTTTCCCGGATAGCGGATTTTCTCCAAGATAGATTTTTTTAGGAATTTCAGGATTTCAATAAAGACATTATCAGTAACATTTTTACCAATTTTCAGCTTGTTATTTCAAATGTCCGGGTTCGTCCAAATTTTTGTCTTATTTGTCTACACAATAAATGATGAAAATGTTCTCCATTGACCTCAATACATAAATACAATTGGTTTTTAGATCCCCCTATAAGAAAAAATCCAAAGACGTAAGATCGGGAGATCTAGCAGGTCTGCAACAAACTGAATTACTTGAACAAGATGATAACCTTCTAGAGAATGAATTGATGTTTCAGCAAGATAGGGCACCTCCACATTACGCTGCTCCCACTCGTCAGTTTTTGAATGAAAAATTTCATAGACAATGGATTGGCCGAAGAGGTACCGTAGGGTGGCCTGCTAGATTTCCCGACCTTTTTTTAACATAGTAAAATAATTGTAAACTTTTTTATTTTCTTTAATGCAATTAATGATCTGAATTGATATTCAGACCCAATCATCCATATCTCTTATAAAAAAAAACAGAGTCATGTAGAGAATAAAATTACCTTTGAATCAAGGTATCACTCAACCCCTCTCCCCATTTAAAAAAAAATCATGGGGTGGCTCTGGAGGGTAAGGAGATGAAGGGAGAGAAACGCAGGTATATGTCATAACATGCCTCCTCAATATTAAATTTGACGTGAATTTCAAGGTGGACTATTTTCCCTGGGAGACCCTGTATATACCATATCAAAATTATGGGCTGAATTATTGGGCTAGAATTACAAAATAAGTATAAAAATGGTACCAAGTGAAACTGTTTCTACCATTTTAATAAAAATCTGTTTTTCATTGTTGTAAGATGTGACAGAATAACGTCACAGACCTAGCACTTGAACATCAGTGTTTCATTTCTTATTTTATATCGTGTAATACATCAAATTTAAAGTTGAAAATATACCACAATCGGCATTACAAAATGTCTTAGCAAACCCTTGTGTAATATCACCATTGAATTAGCAGAAGCTTTCAGTTTTTGTCGAAATAAAATGTTTTTAATTATGATCTTTTCGATTATAAATAATGCTGCCTAGATTAAATAGAATATTCTGATCTGTAATTATCATCATCGTTTTGAAAAAAGTCGGATCAAGATTAGTTTGAATACAACAGTCCTAATCTAGGGTAATTGCGAGATTACGATACAGATATCGAAATTCCAGGATAATCTAATAACATTTCAAATTATGCAACGTCAATTACAAGAAAAAAGATCTTAAAAATCGGGATTAATTAAATCTATAATAATCATTATAAAATATCAAATAATATGTTTCGAAATGTCATAAATTAGATGAATTTTCAAATAAAACATCTGTTGTTAAATTAACACATGGTGTTTCAAAAATCATGCTTTAAGTTTCTGTAATAACTAAGTATTGTGTGTACATTTGAAATCACCTGCTCAAAATCTCTTTAAGGGACTAAAATTTCAAAATAGGGGAGCATCCGTTAGTTTTATAAAATTCAAATTTCAGTTGATTCAATTACAAAAAAAAAAACAAGACGGGTGAAGGCTGGAAATCTAACGGGTGATTGTAACTGCACCCCTTTTACGACTCTACCTGTACTAGGAAACAGGTATATGGGAGGTTAAACGGTTGCATATCCAAAACTAGGTATTGTGATTTTCGAAATTCCAATCAGTTAAAGAGATTTGAGGGATACTTTGTTTTCGAATGAAAATTCGTAATAAAAAACTGAATTTTTCGAAAACTTGAAAAACTGGTAAATGGTACTATGAACAGCATCCCACATGATTAAGGGAATGGTCGAACCGAGAGGACACATAAATGTCACTTTCGTGTTATCATTTTGAAACACCCTGTATTTGAAAAGAGTTCGTGCATTAAAAAAAGCAAACTTACCCTCAATTTGTTTACCGGCCGCTGCGATGGCGGCCGCATTGAGAGTCGCGTTTGTAATTAGCGATCCATAGGCACCCAAATCGGCCGACCCCAATGAAGTGGGTATTCCAGCTGCCGTAAGTGTTCTCTCCACTCCCGCACCTTTGCTTAACAAGTTGGCCATCGAGTTGGCCATACATAGCGGGGCTGTAGCTGCCGTCGCCGGTTGCGACATAGCTGCCAACGTCACTAAGTTCTGAACACCGATGGGTGCAAGTAAATTTTCTGAGCTCGTTAACAACTGCTGCTGAAGTAACGCTGATCCTCCCATCGCTTGCAACAGTTGTAATGATGTCGCATCAGAAGCTAACACAGGACTATATTGCTGAGGCGGCGACGCTAGCGTTGGTGCCGATAGTGCATTCCAAACATTCGCTTGCATTTGCTGTTGCCTTTTCATTTCTTTCTCTTTTTGGGTATCCGCAAATTTTACTACTAAAGGAGCTGAACAACTCTCCATCGTTTGTGACTGGTGGAAGTTTTTGATTGCTAACAGCGCCGACTGTTTGGTGCTGAAAGTAATGAACGCACATCCCCGAGAATTACCCGCCGTGTCTCTAAGCACTGTACACTCTTCGATTGTACCAACTCCCGAGAAGAGGGCGCGTACGTCGTTTTCACTGAACTTCTTACTCAGCATTCCAATGAATAGTTTTCTTTCTGAAATTAAAAAAAAATATATATGTAGATATATCATATATAAATAATATATGGCTATGGTTTTAAAAAAAAACACACACTTTGGTTATCATATTTAAAGCAATATAGAGTTTTGTCTGTTCTTAGTAGTTATTTGTGAGCATGCGCAGCCCTTTCTTATTATCCGGAAAATCATAACCCCACCATAACATAAGTTAGTACTGCCTGATAATACCTTTTTTAGATTGAAAAACTCTTTTCTTTCTAACTATCTATAAAATAATTCTAGCTCATTTAATTTTAAGTGACGAAAATTCCTGTCTGAAAAGCTGATGTAAAATCGCCTATAAACTCCCAAGATGAATTATGCGGTAGACGTTAACTTCCAGTTGATATTTCCTTAATTATTTCACAATTCTCACTAAATGACACCGTGAATGAAAGTTGCTGACTACTTGGAGCAACATTTTATAATGGCGCTGGAAAAGCGGACAGGTTATCATGATTACAACTCAAATTCAATCGCGGAAAATATTCCGGACGTGCAAAATTAAGGTTGAATTCGGAATTTGGCGTTTTATCGTTAGAATGCCGACGCGTGAAATTTGGCGGAAAGGTATTAATTAAATTTTCCATTTTATGGCATTTGTAGGAACTGAAGTGGAGATACCGGGTAGAAGGCGAGGAAGTGACGGACAGAGTTTATCAGAGATATACGTGAAATTTTGATAATTTAAGTTTTAAATCAAGCAATATTACAATACCCAGCGCAATCATTATAAAATTATTTTGCAAACAAAAACTCATACAGCTTTACTATTAGCGAAAACGCCAAACAATGCAATATTGGAAAATTATGTTTTTCATTATTGCGGTTGAATTAATTCATAACACCATTAAAGCAACAAAAACGCCCAGCATGTTGGCGAATTTATTATTTCATGAACGTTCATTTAATTACTTTTCATAGAGTTCTCGCTCTTATCTACTATTCCTATAATTTTTTAATTCAATTTATCTTCTTATGACGCTCACGTTATTCGTTTCATAAATGCTTCAACAATTATGTTGTACTGTTTGTTCGTTCGAACTTATCATATCAATCAATAAATTTCATTTCAGATCAAAAACTTCAAAAAAGCCACTTTGTCGTAAATTTCATGGAGGATTATAAAATTGGTGGAAAACAAAATTACCACAGCAATCTCAACGATCCTAATCGTTGAACAAATTCAATAAATGCTAACTAAACTTGCACATTTTGAAGTATGGAAAAAATTGTTATTAGAATCACTCAAATCGTTACCGATATTCAAACACCCTGCACTGTTAATTCACTTCTTGTTGTTATTCAAGTATCTAATGAAACTTCATAGTAAAGTAGTGAAATTCAATAAAAATCTGAGGGAGCAATTTTTTAATATATACCAGCAAATAAAAATAAATAGGGAAGTTTAAATTGAATTATTCTTGAAGTTTGATTAAACTCTTTAACAAAACAATATAAAATCAAGAGTCCATAAAACAAAGAACAACAGCCATTACAAGAAAATTGTTTAGCAAGTTTCAGAGTTTTAAGTTTTAAGACTTTAGTTTAAGAGCTCATTTATATACCAAATAAAGCATAGAGCACATAATTATTCCATGGAAATTTTCTTTTATTTTCGGCGTCGATACTCAATAAACTTACGATTTTCGTTTTGTGTTTTCGATTGTTTTAAAAGCAATTTAATACTATTCCGTAAATCCTGAACTTAGGTCGTAAACAACAGGGGTTTAATAACAATTTGAAATAGTTGCACGGATTTTTATCATCAATTTTATTTTTCTGACTTATCGGAAATGCTGTTTTCACCTGGCTGACTTCGGGACAGTATCTATATGTTACCGTTAAATTTAAACCGGAAACTGATGCCAAAGCTTCATTTCATTTATTTCATTCACATGGTCATTTTTACTCAAAATCGTAGAAAAGCGACGGCATTTATAAAATAAAGGAACCTCTGTATGCATAAATTTCCGCAAGCCATATAGTCAACACGGAAGTACAGAGAATCAAGAACTAACTCGTTTAACAGTACCATATGCCCATATGCGTTCAGACTCATTGAATACAGTCGCTCACTCAATTAAACATAGGCGTAACGTTATACCAACGTGATTTTGCATAGTATTGTTTATTTTGAAAAATCGAATATATCTGCTGTTGTTTGAAAGAAAGAAAGAAAGAATTTGCTTTATTGTCAGAAAATTTTACAATTTTGTGGACAAAGCTGAAAAAATAAAAAACAAAACATACAAATGCAAAAGCACAGACAAAACCAAACACTTGAACAAATAGTTCATGGTCAAAATTTGATTAAAACCAACAAACAAACATCTAGGTCTAACTGCTTATACTGTGCGAGTAAGCATATTATAGGTACTAAGAAAACAAACAAACAATAACTTATAATAACCTATCATGATACAGGAACAAAAACAAAACCTGTGAGTAAGCTGCTCAAAATTTAGAATTAGGAAACCATAAACAACTCGCTTACTGTGTACAAGGCTCTCCCCAGTAAATACACCTTCAACGCCCTGCGAAATTCGAGAAAAGATGCAACGGACCTGATGTTAGGCGGTAGATGATTATGCATCTTTTTAGCATTATAAAGTATTGAACTTTTAACAAACTCTGAGCGCGGGATTGGCAGATAAAGATCCAACTCTGCGTTCCTCAGTGGATAATTGTGAGATGGCCTCTCTGAGATAGCTGATATTAAGTGCTTACGAATTAAGCAGACGGATTCGAAAATAAATAAAGATGGAAGAGTCAATATACTAGACTTGATAAAAAATTCCCGGCAGTGAGTTCTACTACCAAGTCCCAAAGAATAACGAAGAGCTCTCTTCTGCAGTCTAAAAATGCGTTCAAATTGAGACGCACAACACGTGCCCCAGAATGGAAGGGCGTAACGCAAATGCGACTCAAAAAGAGCATAATATACCATCCTGCAAGTTGCCGAGTTAAGCTCCCTGGAAACAGATCTCAGTGCAAAACAGGCCGAACTTAATTTCTTTGCTAAGGCGTCGATATGCAGGTCCCACTTTAGAGATTTATCAACAACAAGCCCCAGGAATTTCACGGAATCAACGGCCTCTATGGTATTGTTATCCAGTACTACAGATTGGAGCGAAGCTCTGTAAGATAAAACTTTGGTTTTAGAGAGGTTGAGGCACAGGAGATTTGAGTCACACCATGATTTGATGGTGATTAAGTCACTAGATACGGTTCTATGGAGTTCCGTAATATCCGGGTTGCTCCAAGTGAAACTAATATCGTCTGCGAAGAGACAAACTTTGCCGCTAATATCCAGACTAGCAATGTCGTTAATAAATAGCAGGAACAAAATAGGGCCAAGAACTGAACCCTGAGGCACACCACATTCAATTGGTTTACAAGAGGACATGGTCGAGTCCACCCTCACAAGCTGACTTCTGTTACCAAGATAAGACTTAAACCATTCGAGAGCCATTCCTCTGAAACCGTAGAACTGTAATTTGTTAATTAAGATATTGAAAATGTATTTTTTATACGACCCTATCAGGAAGTGACATTTTCCATCCCAATTCAAGAAAAAGTGTGTTTTTTTTCCTCGCTAGGAAGTTTACTGAGTTAGTTTCACTGGAAAATAAAGCCGACATCTCAAATCGAGGCGGCACCCTCTGGTTGAAAGTTAAGTTAAATATAAGTGCTAAAAGTGCTGGGTACCTACTTCGGTCCTAGAGTAGCTTTCTGTTCAGGAACAACAAAAAATATCGATGAACCTGTGTTTCGAACCTAGAAGTGAAAGTCAAAACAACCTGGAATACAAAGCACGATTTTGGACTTCCAGAATTCTAGACAATAATATTATAAAGCTCACTTCAAGGGAGTATTTTTTTATTTATTTTTTTTATATTGGCCCGCTCACAAGAAACAAAGTCTATACTACCTAGGCGGTACCATGAGCGGAAAAAATTGAGTAACCAATAACCCTCCGTTTGAACACGTTAGGGTTAAATTGTAGCAGGCAGGGCTTCCAGAGGTTGGCACTACGCCACCAGAAAGAAGCCCTATATTTACAGGTCCTCGGTGTACCCAACATTACCATCTACGGATTGGATGCCTTTGAGGTTCTTGTGGTTCTTAAATAACTTCTCCTAATAAAGTTTGTGAGGCTTTCGCAGCCCAGGTTTATTGATAAAGTGTTTTCATTCGGGCTTAATGGTCGATCTTTCTTGCGTTTTTGAGGATCGGGTTCCAAGTTTGGTTAAGTTTTGGCGTTTCTTCTTTCCTGTCGAAGTTATTCGTATGTTCGTGGATTTCTATAGCTCACGTACAAGACTTTTGTGGTATCCGGAAGTTGGTGCAAGAAGCTTGACCTCACCAAAGAGTATTTCGTGATTTCCTTCACTAAGCGCATGTTCTGCAACTACCAATTTTTCCGATTGTCCTAGTCTGCAGTTCCTTTTGTGCTCATTCATCCTGGTTCCCATGGATCTTTTTGTCGTTCCTATGTATACTTTACCTCATGAGCATGGTATACGATAGACTCCAGCGCTTGACAGTGGGTTCCTCTTATCCTTGGCTGATCTGATTGATTGCTGTATTTTCCTTGTTGGCTTGAAGATCGTTTGTATTTTGTGTTTTTTCAAGACTTTTCCTATCTTGTCTGTCACCCGAGAAATGAAAGGCAGATATGCATTAGCCACCACTGGTTGTTCATCCAAGTTTTGTCGTGTGGCCGTTTTAGGTCGCATCGCCCTGTCGATTTCAGATGCATTGTATCCATTTAATAGAAAGGCCGAACTTGAGGTGATCCAGTTCTTGCTCGAGATGTTGTGGCTCGCAGATGTTCCGAGCACGTTCTGTTACCGTTGTTATAATTCCAAGTTTTTGCCTTGGATGGTGGTTTGAGAGTGCATGCAAGTACCTGTCTGTGGGTGTGGGTTTTCGGTTCACTGTTTGGCTTAGTTTTATTCCAGATTTCTTG